TAGGTCTCTTGCCGACGATTGGAATCTCCAATCAATATTCCGAACGGTGAAAAGGTGTACGATGTCAACACGAACAACATAATGAAAAATTAGGACAATCAGACGGTGGAAGATGACAGATCAGAGAAAATAAAATCTAAACGGTTATCTTTGTATTTTTCTGATTTTGACACTTTGGTTTCTGTTATTTTATTTTAACCTTTTAATTTATGTTTTTACCATTTTAATCCTTGAAGTTCATGTTTTGCTAGATCTATTATTCAAGTAAAATAGTTTATTTAATTAATTAATTTGAAGCAAGTTATTAATATTTAAAAAATGGGTTATATTTTAACTTGATATTTTATTCAGGATTTCCACCATTACGACAACGTGTAAGCGAAACAGTACCAATTTTGGGCGTTGTGGGGGTGCTAATCCTTCGTCACGTGTAACCGACTCCCGAACATGTTTTAATCGAATCTTTGGTAAACGCATACCAACTTTTGTCTTAAAAAATGATTTTTCTTAAAATTGTTTTTAAAAGACGTTTTTTATCCAAATCAATTCCAAATCACTCCATTTTCAAAAATTAAGTCGTAACTGTTTTTAAGACAAAAAAAAATTGTTCCGCCTAAAAACGGTTATGACAGTTCGATCGATGAAAATGAAGGAAAGGGCGACAAGTGGCATGGTTATAGGGATTAAAATTAAGGGTTTTAAAGTTTTGGGGTTTCTTAATATTTGAGAAAATTTTATGGGTTTTTCAAATTATAATTTAAAGTTTTTTAATATTTTTTCAAAAATATATAAATACAAAGCATGTCACTTAACAAACTTTTTTAACATATGTTACAGTTGATGCACTTAATATGATGACGTTTGTAACGTTAGGCACCTAGATTGATCGGAAAAAATTTCAAGCACCTAAATAGGAAAAGAGGTATAATTTAAGCACTTTTTTTATATTAAGACTTATTCAATTAGTATATTAAACAATATTTAATTTTTTTTTATAAAATTTAATATTTTGTATTTACTTTTTACATATTATGTAATAATGATTAAAACACGTTCATTATCAAACTAAGTTTAAGCAAATTATTTTAATTTTATATTAAATTATTACAGAATTTCAATTTTGTATAAATAGTTTTTGAAACTTATTATTTTGATCATATTAATATGAAACTGTCAAATATGGAAAGTTAAAGGTTTCAAATCTAGTGGTCGCTTTGGTGACCAATGTAATTAATATTATAGGCCTACTGTTTATAATCAGTGTCAGATTCATAATATTTTTTTAGGTCACAAATATGTTAACAACATATAATTTTTGTATTAGGTGAACACAAATAAAATTTTAAGATGGACACAACTAATAAAATAGATGATTAATTGAAGAAAATTTTGATTTCATGTGTACACTAAACAAATCATAGATTTTCTAGTGTTTATAGTGGGTCATGTTTATGGTGCTACAATTTACCATACAAATATTAGAACTTCTAGTATCTTGGAATAAATGTACGTGTAAGTATTTAATCGAGTTGAGTCGAGTATATATTTTTTATTTACTCGAGTTGACTAGTCATATTTTATGATTCTACTTTATTTATTTTTTCAAGTGAAATCTAGTTTATGAAATTCGAGTCGATTTGAATTGTTCAAGTTTCTCTTCAAATTTAATTATAATTATTTATTATATTATAGTACATATTGATTCTAATTTAAATAACTTTTATATATATATATATTCATTTTTTTGCATATTTAAGTAAGATTTATAATGTTATTTAATAAACCAAACATCAACTAAAATTAGAAAATATATTTATAGTATTATTTTTAAAGAATGAGTTTTGAAGATAAAATGTTTACGAGTATAAATAGTCAAAGAATTTATGGAAAGAAAGAATTTATAAAAGAAATTGTAGTCAAAGAATCAAATTGAATAAAAAATGAAGTTATGAGACTAAATTGAGAAAAGAATTTAAAAATAATAATAATTAGAGTTACATATGTACTTTATAGTATAGAAGAGTTTGTTCAAATTTAGTAAAAATTAGACTTAAAATAAATGAAAAACTAAAAAAATACAAAAGTAAAGGACTAAATTAAAAAAATAAAGAAAATTATCTTTAATTATCTTATAAACAATCTAATCTAAAATGATTGAATTAAAAAAATAATTTTAAAAAATAAAATATTCAAAATATAAAATTAATTTATATAATATGTTACTTTTAATAATCTTACCGCATGATTATCGGATAATATTATAAAATCGAATGAGATAATATTGTTTTCAAATCTTACTTAACTTTCCATAATATGAGATTCTTAAAATCAAAACAATTTATATTATTGAATATAAATAATATGAAATTATTATATAAAGATAATTTTCTTGTTGTGAATACGATTTCAAATGTTATCTTAAATTCAGGCCAAAGTTATAAAAGTTATCATTGGTGTAAAATATTACTATAATATAAAAAATAGTTTCTTTGAAAAAACATAGTTTTCGCTCATTAGCCGTTCATCTCTCTTCTTTTTTCATCTTTGTTAATTGACGTCGACATCAATTTTAATGTTAATTGTCGATTAATGATATTTTTTATCGTCTTTTTCTTTTTTATATCGTATATTTTTTTACTCTCAATAAGTTTGTTTGTGATGTACATTTTCATATACTTTTATGACACATTTTTTGTTCTTTGGCAGAATTTTCATTTATCTTTTTTCTAAAGTTTGATTTGACATCGCCACGACTAATTAAGATGACACTTATATGATATCTTGTGATTTTCCCTGCTTTGAATCCTCAGATTGGATTTAGATACATGCTTTGCGTTCGTAGATAGCTTTTCACGTTGCTCGAGTATGATTTGTGGTTTGATAGTGATCTTTCAATAATTTGATCCCCTTTGGTAGTTTATTTACCGATGTGATCAAATCTGTTTGTATCTATCTTTGTTTAAGTTTCTTGGTTAAATTTAATCTTTCCTTGTATTGTCCTTTGCTAGTTTTGTTTCAATGATTATAGAAAATTTTTCTAATTATATATTTAATTTACGATTATAATTGTAAATCTTATTATAATTTATGATATTTTCTATTTTGAATAAAATTAGTTGTTTATTTCAAAAAAAAATCAGGCCAAAGTTTCCAAAATGACTTTCCCTTTTTGATACCATATTTAAAATTTAATGAAAATAAAATAATTTGGAATTGGAATATGATTTTACAGAAATTCACATTTTTAATATGTTTGCTACCTTTTTCCCTTTTAAATGAATCAATACATTATATGAAAAAGTTTGTTTTATTGCTAGATTTATCTCACCTTCTAACATTTTCTAGACAATTTCTTCAAGCATTGGCAACCTAATTTAACTTGCTATTCACTCAAAAATAAAATAAAATTTAGGTAAATTATACATTTAGTGCCTCTACTATCATTTTTGTTTTGTTTTAGTCATTCAACTACTTTTTTTTATAAAATCATACGTAATGTTTAGTTTTGATTTTATTTTAATCACCCATCGTAAAAAATGATTAATATAAAAATAAATGCTTAAATCATTTTTTCATTTAACTTCCTAAACTATTTTTCAGTCAACCCATGTGTCTAACAATACAAACATTATCATTTTAAGTCTCTCGGTAGTAACGACCGTTAAAAAAACCGTTAAATGACATATATCATATTTTTTTAAATTTAATTTTCTAAATTTAAAAATATTATTTAGAAAACAAATTTTAAAAAAATTCCCTACACCCTTCGTCCCCTCCCAATGAAACAACACTCTTTCCCTCCCTAAAAGTCCAACCGATTGAAACAACTCTCCCTCTCCAAAAACTCAATCTACTGAAAAAACAAATAAAAGAAAAAGTCAGGGTGGTCGACGATTAAGGTGAGCAATCTTATATTCCAGACTAAGGGTGGTCTACGATTATTATCAAGATTTAAAGTTTGGGTATTTAAAATTGTAAGAATTAAAGATTTAGGTTTAGGAATTAAATAATTTTGGGTTTTGAAAGTATAGCAAAAATAATAACCAGTTAATGAGTGGCCGTTCAATGATGAATGAATGGATGGATGATTGGAGATAGCTGACAAATAGAGTAAAAGGATTTTTTTCCCCATAATTTTAAAGAAATTAAGATTTTTTTAAATATAATGATACTTTTAAGTTGTTTTAAAAATAAAATTTTTAAAATTACTTGAATGTGACATATATCACTTGACAGACTTTTTTTAAATAATGTTATGATTAAAACACTTAAAATAATAATATTTATAACATTAGATACATTGATTAACTAAAAAAGTTTAGCACCTAAATGGAAAAAATATATAGTTTGATCACTTATCTTTGTTTTAAGTTTTAAAAAAATAACGGTGATGTTGATATGTTATTATAAGATAATGCAATATCATCGTTAAAAAAATAATACTTTAACATTTTTTTATTTTTTTAATAATGAGTAATCAAAATAAAATCAAAACGTAATATTTTAAAAAAATAGTTAAGTGACTAAAACAAAATAAAAGTGATAGTTAAGATATTAATAATGTCATTTGCCATAAACTTTATTTAATAATATATATACCCCACTTTCTTAAAAAAATATTAAAAGACGGAAAGGAAAATTATATACCACTTTCACTTTCGAATTTTCTTTTAATTAATTGTTTTTATTTATTGATTCCTTCAAAACACAAATATCAATATCTTAACATTAGTAAAATAATTAATGATTACACATGATATTATACTCCAACAAAGCCCCCCATTATTGAACATTTTCATTTTCCATTATTTTATTATCTTACATAATATGAAAAAGTTAAATTAGCTTAACAACAAAATTAAAAAAAACATTTCTTTATTGTATTTTATCATTTTCCTTTCTCAAATCTCATTTTATTCTACAAAAATTATTTACTGGAAAACTTAAAAAAATTTGATATCCCTCCATACTCCGTAGTCTCTGTTTGAGTTCAACTGAAAAAGAACTTGTTTTAGCTCCAAAATCAATTTCAAAACATCGTATTAGAGCCAAAAACTCGAAGTTTTCCTGGGTTTACCATATTTCAGCTTTGTCTGTTCTGGGTTTTTTGTTTCTTAAAAATTTAACCTTGTTTTTAGTTTGTTGAACTTAAAATTCCAAATGTGTTTTTGATAAAATCTCAGGAAGTTTAAGTTTTAACTATGGAGTCGAGAGAAGCTGTTAATAATACTAGTAATTCCGCACCAACTACTACTGCCACTACTGGGGTAACCGTGGTAGGATCTGATGCTCCATCAAACTACCACATAGCTCCAAGGTCCGAAAACTCGACCCAAAATCCTAGCACGAATCTTGGATCAGCTCCGCCGCAGATTCCTCCACAACCGGCGTCGCAACCAGTCCTTAAAACGGTTGCGGTGGCGGGGATGCCGCTGAAGAAGAAGAGGGGAAGACCAAGGAAATATGGACCGGATGGTTCAGTCACTATGGCGCTCTCTCCGAAGCCTATATCAACGGCTGCGCCACCTCCGGTGATCGACTTCTCAGTTGGGAAGAGAGGGAAAGTGAAGACGCCGACGTCGTTTTCGAAGGCTAAGTTCGACCTGGAGAATATAGGTTTGAAACAATTAACCATTTTGGTGGATACCCTTTTTGAGTTCGAGTTGATTTGGTGGTTGTTTTCCATGTTTAAAACATGGATTCTTAGTGTTTTATGGTGATGGTTGTTTCCCTTTTGCGTTGTTTTAAAGTGTTTTCAGTGGAACCCAATAAGTACAGTATAAGTGGTCAAGGAAAGTGTTGTTATCTATATATGTTCTGAGTTCGAGTATCAAGGTTTATAGCTGGTGGGGTGGTCGAGTTTTAAGTGTGTGATAGCGTCGGGTTGAAGTGGGACCTTAGAACCGTGAGTAGATATCACCATGGCGGACATAAGATTTTATTTTAAGGGGAACTTGAAAAATGTTAGAGAGGCGTAAATTTATAAAATTTTAAAAGACGAAAACATATTATTAATAGAAAATATAAAGAAAAAAATATATGTAACATGTGATAATTTAAAATGTTTAAGAGGGAGCTGCTTCCCTCGGTTCATCTCTGGATACGCCCCAGTTGAGAGATCTCCTGATAAGTTTGTATGTGGCAGTTTATGAAGGATAGTGAGAGGTTTTATGGTTTGGTAATGTGGGATTTGTGGTAATGATGAAATCTTCTTGTTGCTGTGTCCTTTTCCACTTGTGATGCTTCACTGGAAGCAAATTTTAAGGTACCCTCTTTCAATTGATGATGAGGAGACTTGGATATCAAACCTGTCTGCTATTTGCTGCCTGATTTCATTGCTAGATGGAGGAGAGCATTATGTGCTTTTATGCTTTGGCATATTGAGTTTGGACTTAACTCTGTTGCTTTGCTTGTTGGTTTCTTTGAATAGTAACTCATAATGCTTTCGATATTTTGTATATGTCAGTTGTGTGATTCTTTGTACCATGTGGTAAGGATGAATATATCTGGGGCTTAGTTTTGATTACTAGTTTAGTTCTCTAGTTTGTCCTCCCATCGAGACTCAAGTTGCGGAGCACATAGATCGAGTATCGCGCCTTTAAGATTAGCGAAGTACGCAAAGTATACAGCATGCACTGCTTTGGAAATATCGAGTTGCAACTTGATGAGTTTCATGGACTCTCTAGGATGTTTATGTCTTGCAGGATTATTCAAATTAGTGAGAATAATGGTTTGGTTTTATGGTATCAATTGTTCTGATTTTGTAATACTGATTTTGTAGGTGAATGGGTTGCATGCTCTGTTGGGGCTAATTTTACACCACATATCATCACTGTTAATTCTGGTGAGGTATGTTGTAAACATAACTGTTATTTCGAAGTTAACTTACATTCTGCGTAATGGTCGTGGCAATTTTTATTTGGGGTGACTTTGATAACTCCATTGTTTCATTGCTGGAAAATTATGGATCGAGAGTGCTGTTATCGTCATGATTTTCAGTCGATCGTACGTTGGTGATTCTTTCTTTTTCTTTTTTGGTTGTTTTAGGATGTCACGATGAAGATTATATCGTTTTCACAACAAGGGCCACGAGCTATATGCATTCTCTCTGCAAATGGGGTGATCTCAAATGTCACTCTTCGTCAGCCCGATTCCTCTGGTGGCACACTGACATATGAGGTGATGCTATATTTCTCTTTAAATCTCGGCTCCTATCATGGATACTTATTCTTGTTAAATGTCTGCAGATTTGTGTTTAAATCTGCAGATTGCTTGATCCTTTTTTTCATCTTATTGACTGGAATATAGCATTGATCCTATAGGGTTTACCGACTTCCCTAATCGGCCTATTTCTGCAGTTTACTTTGTTTCATCGTAACCATCTCATTTCTTCTCAAATTTCTTGCAGGGTCGATTTGAGATACTATCCTTGTCTGGTTCATTCATGCCCAATGACACTGGTGCAACAAGAAGCAGATCTGGTGGGATGAGTGTTTCATTAGCAAGTCCAAATGGTCGTGTTGTGGGTGGTGGAGTTGCTGGTCTCCTAGTAGCTGCTGGCCCTGTGCAGGTTCGGCTTCTGTTTTGTCCGCGCCTGTTTATGTTCTATGTCCCTCAGTTGTTTTCTCTTCCGGGTTTTAACAGCTTCCTAGTGAACGATTACTGCAAACCCTGGTGAAGATTGAGCCTCTAAATTTCTTACTTTCTATTGTTTGTGAACCAGGTTGTAGTGGGCAGTTTTCTAGCAGGGAACCAGCATGAGCCGAAGCTTAAGAAACAGAAGCACGAGTCATTTTCAGTTGCCACACCGGTGGCTGCTATTACGGTTTCTTCTGCTGATCCGAAATCAATCACTACATCCTTCCGCAGTGATAGTTGGCCTCCTTTGCCTTCAGATACAAGGAATAATCCCACTGACATTGATGTCTCAGTGCCCGGAAGTTAATCTAAACTTTCCGACATTATTTTCCAGTACAAGTTTTCCAATACTTACTGTACCGAAAAACAAAGCACAATTGATGAAATCTCATCGTTGTTGTTTCGAATGTACCATCATGCTCATTTTCACCTAGGGTTTATTTTTGCCCTATTTATTAATTTTCTTTATTATTTTAGTTTGGTCAGCTGATTAAGATTAGCCTTCTGCAGCTATTGTGCCATGTAGAATATTTTGAATGTAACGTTTACTTAGAGAGTTGGTTTTTCTTCAAAATGATGATGGATTGTGATTTTCAAACATCCCAGTTTTCATTGCTGATGGCTTGTTTATGTAGATATCGACTTTCAATTCTATTTCAGATATGATCCAGTACAACAATAATTATCAATAGAGTATTTAGATGATTTCTTTTGAGACATTATATAAGTGTAGAATTATATTGTGTTAGATTGAACTTAACGAGAGAAAATTAATTGGACTTGACTTAATTCAAGAAATTGAGAAAAATATTCATTTGAACTAAAGACAAAACAAATGTCACATTTAGTTAATAGAAGTCTTACGCGAATTTAAAGAATGAAAACATTGAGTTTGTGGTTGAAAATTCTTAAGGTGTTACCGTGGAAGATAGTTATACGCAGGGATGGAGCTTTCCTTAGGGGCCAAGGGGTCACTGCCCCTATTAAAATTTATATATTCGATATAATTTTTATTTAATAGTATTTTGATTTATGTAAAAATAAATATTTAAATTTAAAAAATATAAAAATCTAATAAATATTTAATCAAGTTGGGGTCAAACAAAAGAATGATAAGTCAATGTTCTTAAATTTTTAGTCTAATTATAATTTAAGTCATTGTAAGTTTAAATATTAGACAAATTAGACGTTGTCTTTTGAGTTTTGAGTTTTTTTTTTAATTTAGGGTGAATACAAGGTAATATATGTTCAAAGAATTCCAACTATTTGACAATGAATGCTCATACCCCTACAAACGTGCTTGAACTCGAGACCTCATTGATAACAACAATCCCTTAATCACTAAGGTCGCTTGATTCATGTTGAATTTCGAGTTTAAATACCTAATAAGTCTTTATATTTTTCTTAAATAGTCTAATATTTCAACCTTTGTCAATATTTAATTCTGGCTCCGTCACTAGTTCTACGTTTTATACATAAAGAAGAATTGAGTCTACATTTCATCATACCGTCGTAAACGGTTTTCGCCCAGATACAAAATTTTTACTTGGCGGGAAAACTAAAATGAATAAATGGTTTTTTTTTAAAAATGTTTTAGGGAGTCGCCATTATCCTTTTGGATCAGGTAGGTCGAATACCTAAAAATTATCTTTTAAAAAGTTTTTAAGAAAACATCACTTAAAAGATAAACTGATCTGCGTTTTAACCAAAAATTCATTCTTTTTAATAATAAAAAGGGATTCGTGGTCGATTACGTTTGGGGAAGGATTAGCACCCCACAACGCCCAAAATTGGTACTCATTAATTATAAATTGTCTCTATTATTAAAAATTTAAAAATTCAAAAATATATTTAATTCATAATCCTGTTATTTCAAATTTATTAATATAATATATTAATATATATATTTTAAATAAGATATTTATTTATTTAGAAATATCAGAAAAGAGCTTCTAGGTGCTTTAAGACAGCTCTTTTCTTAATATTAAAAAATAAATAAATATTAATAAAACATTTACTTAAAAATAATAAAAAAATAAAAATAGATTAATATATATAATTGATAAAAGTAAAATATTTATTTAAAAATATCAGAAAATGGACATCCAGTTGCTTTAAGACTGTCCTTTCTTAATATTTAAATAAATATTAAAAATAATAATTTTCCCTAATAAGATAAAACAATATGTTTTTCTGGTTTTTATAAGTAAGATATTTATTTATTTTTATATCAGAATAGGACATCTAGTTGCTTTAAGACTGTCATTTTCTTTGATATTAAAAATAAATAAATATTAAGACGAATATGATTTTTCTTAATAAAAACGAAGCAAAAATATATATTTATAAGCATAATATTAGTTTATTTTTAATATATTAGAATAGGACATCTAGTTGCTTTAAGACTGTCATTTCTTAATATTTAAAAATAAATAAATATTATTATAAAACTATAATATTGTATTTCATGTAAATATTAGTGAATAAAACATAAATAAATAAATAAAATACTATATTTAAAGTATAGGATCAAAATAAAATTAATACTATATGGTATTTTATTATTAATATAATTATTAAGTAAAAATAATAATAATGATCAAAATAAAAGAAATTAAAAGCAATAATATTAAATTGCAAAATATTAAAACTTATAGTCAAAATTAAAATTTAGTGATTAAAATATAACATATTAAAATTAAAAGCTCTAATTCGAAGTATTATAAGATTTAAGTATTAACAGTGTAAATTAGCCATAAATATTAATACGGGATTTAAATAAAAATGTTAAAACTATAAGGGACTAAATAACTATTTACTCTAAAATATATATAAATATGAGTAATAACTAAATTATAAATTAACTAAAATTATAAGGTTGAATTGAAATAGCCAGGAATTGCTTTTATTGACTAAATTGAAGAATTACAAAACTATAAAGGTTGCGGAAAGGGTTTATCCTTTCTGAAATTACACACATACCACTCTCCAAAACGGTGTCGTTTGGAGAGGGGTATAAAAACCCAAAATCCGGCCCCTAAGGGCCAAGCTTCCTCATTTCTATTTTCTCATTCTCTCTCTTAAAGAGATAGATGAGAAATCTCTCTCTGCCCTCTCTCTTCATTCTTCCCGCTGGAGGTTGGCCGACCAGCAACCGACAGCCTTACTCCGCCGCCGACCACCACTGAACGGTGGCCGGAGTTAGGAAAATTTGCCCAAACCATAGATCTCTACGTCCTAAGGTCGAATACGGCCTCTATTTATCCTAAAAACCCTTAGAAATTCCTAGATCTAGGATTTTACCTTCGAAATCTGAAGGTTTCCGGTGATGTTTCGAGTGCCTCCGATGACAAAGTAAGCTCTCTCTTCTCTTCTCTTCTCTTTTCCTTTTTTTTATACTGGTTCGTCGTTGACTGGGATCGTTGGTAGTTTGATATGTTTGTCTCGGTTTTTGGGTTGCTCTCTTTGTCGTTTGCTTCGTTGGTTGTTGTTTTTTTATCTCGCAGGTGTGGTGGCTTTTATAGCCACCTCTGGTGCTTGTCTCGGACCGGTCCCAAGAGTGGAAGCCTCGGTGAGTCACCAAAGCTATGCTGGTGACTCACCGTAGGGATGTAATATGGGTTTCCATCTGGTGTTCTGGAACTTACGGTGGCGAAGTGGTGTGGCAAACTCAGCGTCGGCAAGGCTGATTGGGTCTCTTGGCAGTAGAGTCGGTGGCTGCATGGTGCATCAGAGGCGTCTCAAAGCTGTTGAGGCGGCGGCAGCAGTGCTAGGGTTTAGAAACCCTAGCAAAAATAATACAAACCCTAGATGGGTTTGGGTCGCCCGTTGGGCCTAGGAATTATTGGGCCGGTTCTGTTGGGCTTCCATATTTGTAAAACGGGCCTGGATTGTTTGTATTTGGGCTCCTAGGATATGGGCTTGTAATACTTATTTAAATAATAATAATAATAGATATACTAATTAATAATAATAATGATAATAATGAAAAAATTAATGTCTACAACTGCCCCTCTTTGCTCATTATTGTGTTAACAAGAATAGAGCAAAGACGAGAATGACAATAATTTTTTCATTTGGCTTCTTTTGAGTATGATGGAAATGTGAAAAACATTATGCACTGAAGGACCTACAGATGACCGGAAGGTTTTGAAAATATCATGCACTGAAGGACTTACAGATGACCCGAAGGTTTTGAAAACATCATGCACTGAAGGGCTTACAGATGACCCGAAGGTTTTGAAAACATCATGCACTGAAGGGCTTACAGATGACCCGAAGGTTTTGAAAACATCATGCACTGAAGGGCTTACAGATGATCCGAAGGTTTTGAAAACATCATGCACTGAAGGACTTACAGATGACCCAAAAGTTTTGAAAACATCATGCACTGAAGGACTTACAGATAACTCAAAGGTTTTGAAAACATCATGCACTGAAGGACTTACAGATGGCCCGAAGGTTTTGAAAACATCAAGCACTGAAGGATTTACAGATGGCCCATAGGTTTTGAAAACATCAAGCACTGAAGGACTTACAGATGACCCGAAGGTTTTGAAAAAATCATGCACTGAAGGAGTTACAGATGGCCTGAAGGTTTTGAAAACATCATGCACTGAAGGACTTACAGATGACCCGAAGGTTTTGAAAACATCATGCAATGAAGGAGTTATAGATGACCCGAAGGTTTTGAAAACATAATGCACTGAAGGGCTTACAGATGTGAGAAATAGTTTACTAAGTAAGAAACTTTGGAAATCGTTTTCTTACTATTTAAAAATTTCATTTTCAGAAAAGATTAAATGAGAAACTTTGGAAATCGTTTTACTCTTAAATGTTTTTTCTATGAATCGTGTCCATCTATTCTTAAATGTTTGTGTGATTCCGGTATTTGAGGTTTTGAATTCTACCTTCTTCTTGTAAGGTATTTTGCGTCATGAATCTTCTTTTTCATATGAAAATTTGGAAAAAAAAAACTTATGTTTGAATGCAATCAAAGGTATCAATGTAATGCATTGTCTATTGTGCAAATGATGTTCTTATGAATGCATGAATATTGATGCAATCTTCATTTGACTTCAAAATGGTGAACTCGGTCTTCCTTTACTTGATCATTTATTTCCAAGGTTACCTTTGGATATCAGTGTAACAACCTATGCCATAAAGCTGAAGAACCATCCGATCAATCTTGTATCTTTGTATCTTCTTTGGTTGTATTAAAATCTCAGAAGAAATATTTCATTTATGGAACTCTTGCCGTAATCAGAATTATGGCCTTGATGTCCCATTTTTATCTTTGATAACATTGGCTTTCTTTGCTTGGACTTGTGTAGAAATCCAATAAAGATTTCATCTTTGAAAAGAGAATCTATCATCTATGAGAAAA